CTGAACTGTGTTCGTGGTTTCCATATCTCTGAGCTTTGAGCGGGCGCTTGGCGCCAGTGTGAATCGCCATCTGTTTGCATGTATGTGAAGTGAAGAAGAGAGCGAGTCTGATTGCATTGTTGTTGCCTTGTGCTTCGCCGCATGGTTGCCGGGCTGCTTGTCTGCTTGCCCTGTCGTTCCTTGCAGTGTGGTCGCATTGCTTGTGTTGCCTGGTGCTTCACTGCACGGTTGCTGTGCTGTTCGTCCACTTGCCATGTTGTTCCTTGCAGCCGTCTTTGGTGTTGAGCAGCCGTGTTGCCTCTGCAGCGTTGCCTGGTGCTTCGCTGGGTTGCTGCCCACTGCTGTGTTCCGTTTGGGGAACAGTTTGCCTTCAACAAGGGTCGAAGGGTTCATGTCATCATGACCCTGGTTTTTTTTTTTTCCTTTGGAGAAATTGCTCCAGTTTATTTGTGGGGAGCAGCACGTGCTGGGAACCGGGCCCAGCATTCCATTTAGAAAGACATCTGAGAATATACTTCAGAACAAGATGAGATACCGTGTGGCATACTGCGTAGCCACACGGGCCTGCAGGGCCCGTCCCGCATTCCCAGCCTAAAAGCCTAGAAATAAGGGCTTACAGGCCCCTGTCGTTTCAGCCTGAAAAACTGAAAAACGAGGGCCTGCAGGCCCTATGTCGTTTCAGCCTAAAACAGGGCTTTTAAGCCCTGAGGCTTTTCAGCCTGAAACGGAGGGCCACTTTCGGGCCCTCATAAGATCGACCTGTCCTAACACTCAGGCACAAAACCAGGATTTCGGGAACAGGCTATCTTTAGCCTGTTCCCACGACAGCCTCAAGCAGGAGCTGCAGCGGCAGCCCCTGACTCCCTGCGGCATTGGCAAGAGCAGCCTCCCGGACTGCCTTGCCCTGCAGTCAGGAGGCAGGCTGAGAAGCACATAGGGAGTTCCCATGCACTTCACGGGTAGGTAGTTGGACAGAAGGCAGGAGTAGTCTTCAGGATTTCGGCCGCAGCACTCAGGAGGAGCGCTGCAGGAGTAGCTTAGCGCTAGCAGTAGTCTTCAGCGCTGGGCGCTAGTAGCCATAGCAGTAGTCTTCAGCGCTGGGCGCTAGTAGGTGGTAGTAGTAGAGTTGGG